TGGATGTGAGAGATGGACAGTTAAGAAAGAAGATAGGAAGAAAACCAACTCCTTTGAGATAATGTGGTACTGAAGAAGAGTGCTGAGGATCCCATGGACATCCAAAAAGACAAACAAATGGGTCCTAGAGCAGATCAAGCCAGAAACCTCCCTGGAAGCCAAGGTTACCAAATTGAGACTGTGGTAATTTGGACACATCATGAGAAGCGAGGACTCTTTGAGAAAAACAATAATGCTGGGAAAGGTGAGAGGAAGGCCACATGCTAGATCAGGGGTAGGCAACCTTTCCCCTTTAAGGGCCGAGGGACTTCAGCTCCCAGAATCCCAGGAGCTATTGGCTAACATGAGACTATTGGCCAACATGGCTGAGGCTTCTGGGAGCTGAAGTCCCTCGGCCTTAAAGGGGAAAGGTTGCTTACCACTGTGTTAGATGGATGGACTCCATTAAGGAGGTTGTGAGTATTAAGGAGTTGCAAGAATTAAGCAGAACAGTGGAGGACAGAGGGTCTTGGACCCCTCAGCCATGGGGTTACCATGAATCAAGATCAACTCAAGGGGAATTAACAACAGAATGTGAGGATGAGGGAGAGCAGAGATGATAGCCAAAAAATGTAGGACATTTGAGGAAAATGGAGGACACACCCAAAGAAAAGCTGAAAGACCACAATATGACCAGGTGTTATAGTGGCAAAATGTAGGGCATTCAAGGAAAGTGGAAGACATGACAAAGAAAAGCTGAAAGACCACATTATGACCAGATGTTATAGTGACAAAATGTAGGACACTGAAGAAAAATGGAGGACATGGCCAAAGAAAAGCTAAAAGACCAGATTATGACCATAATCACAAAGGTGGACAAAGCACTGCAAAATGAAGGGCATTCAGGAAACATGAAGGACATGATCAAAGAAAAACTAAGGAAAAAATCCCACTCATATACGTAAATATCAATTCCTGCTTCCTAGTCCTACTGAATGGAGGACTTTTTTGGAATTCCTCCTGGACAGAAGGTTGAAATTGAGGACATGTCCTGGGAAAGGAGAAAGCCTGGTCACCCTGCTCATATGACAGAATTTATTGGCACTTTTATGGCTCCCAATTACATTCTGTCCTGTGGATCCAAGGCAGCAGGTTGTTGGTGATTGTGTGCCTTCAAGTTGTATCCAATTTATGGAGACCTTAACATGGGGCTTTCTTGGCAAGAATTCTTCAGAGGGGGTTTGTCATGGCCCTCCTCTGAGGCTGAGAGAGTGGACTTGTGGAAGGTCACCCAGAGGGTTTCTGTATGGTTGAGCTGGGATTCAAACCCTGGTCTCATTTCCATACCCACAGGATTTTGAATTTGAATTGACATTCTCACACAGAAATGACTCAAATAGGTCTATCCCTGGGCTTTCCACTCCACCAAATGCATGTGATGGAAGTAGGCTCAAGTGTAGGGACCTTATCACACGCTGGCCATGAAGCGAAAAGTAACCGAAATAAAGAATAAATTCAGTTCTATACCGAAATGAACTGAATTTCGCCTGCGCGGCCATTGCGCAATGATTCCAAAAGCTCCCTTGTACTTCCCCGAAAAACCGAATGTCAAAAGATCTCAATTCGTTACGGATTAGCTCCGGGTTCTGTCGAGTTTCGGTGCAACGTCGTGTGTAAACACGG